CAGCTGAGAGCAACTGCAAACACAGAAGCAGGGAGGAATATCACTTTTAAGAAGTGGAGGTGATTATTTCAATCTAGTTAGCAGTTGTGATGTGTTAGGTTCAATTCTATGCACAGTTTAAGACATCATCTTCAGAAACTGAAGCCAGTCTAGGCAAGAGTAACAAGAACAAGATTTAGAAAGTATGTCCCTGGAGAAAGAACTGGAGAAATAAGGCTTTTCAAATCTATACAATATGATGCTAAAAAGAAGTGTTCTAGCAAACCGACAAACTGAAAGTAGTTCAGAAAAAATAAAGGTCAGTTTCCCAGTTACCACTAAGGAAGAAAAGACAGGATTATGCTAATTGCAACAAACAAAATTTTGTTTGGCCAGTAAGAAAAGCTTTGTAGTTGTTACAGTAGTGAAATATTAAAAATAAAAAAACCACACACCCTACAGTGTTGCCAGAGATCTTTAAAAAAAAATTCATACACGAAGCACTTGTTCTGAACTTGGTTATCCTTTGAGATCTCTTTCACCACTGTTTTTCTATCTACTCTGAAAAACACACCAGTTGTACAGGTGCTTAACTGAAAACAGTTTCTTTCAACAACCCTGGCTCTATAAGCCTCATTCATCCACAATCTAGAAACAGCTCTTTACATAATCTACTTCTGCTTCATCTCCTTTCAAGGTGCCATGAATATCTTTGAAGGGGCATTACAATTTGAACATACTATGGCCCATTTCATACAGCTGCAAGTTTAGAAACGCGGAGATTTTATACCAAATATGTAAGTGTCCAGAAGTGCACACCTCATGTGTAATTCACCTAAAAGACAGCAAATACTCTGGTCACCAGAATCTAAAGATGAAAGCCTGCTGCACAAAGGGAGTTGTATGTGCAGTGAAGCATCTGGCTGGCCCCGATTCTTCCCTACGTTGCTAAAACACTGTCCTTTTGTAGGGGCTCTGGAGGGAGTTATTCACACTAGGTGGGCCTCCACTGGGTACAAGCTGACATCCCTCCTAGAGGAGCTCCAAATACAGTGATCCCCGAAGCTTCCCTGAACTTCCTAAATTTAGGGAATTCAAGCTTCTAAATCTTGCATACAACCATGAAAGAGTGCAACCAGTCAGCCCAAACAGAAGTCCTACTATAGCTCTTCCTCATGCCCAAGAAACGCAATAGCTTGCAGAAGTCAGAAAATAAACTTGTCACGTCTACCGCAGATGAGCGGGCTTTGCAGAAGACCTGATTCTCAGCCTGCTTTTCCCAGGATCACAACCAGGCCCTGTTCAGAAAGCCACTGGAACACACTCTTAAAGCTCAATCCTCTTATAAGCCACTCTTGTAAGCCTGAAGATCACTATGTAGCTGCTAACTCCAGCTCTCAGTTACAAATCCTGCCCCTTACTGAAGTGAAAGGGACCCTTCCCAGGAACTCCAAACAAGAGGAAGAGACAATCAAATGTTGTATTACAAACACAGACCTCCCACTGCCTTACTGCATCCTATGGGATGTTTTTGGTTCAAGGGGGTTGCTGGATTTCCATGTAAAGCCCTGCGTTCCCAGCACCCACACTAACCCTTATAGAAGGCTCCACTTACTCTTTGGCACATCATGTTTGAATTGGCCTGAAGAGCAATGCTTTGTAAGGGCGGTGCGGTGCCTGCTGTGAACAATCTTCATACCTGCTGATAGGGGATGCCCCGTGCATTCTGGTTACTCAGCCCTCAGTCATTTAAAAAGGTACAAAGACAAAAAGATGCCCTTTATTTTTATTTGTAATAATCAAAGAGCATGATAAAAATAAAAGCAAATGTATTAGTAAGTTTATATTTAGCCACAGGAATTTTCCTTATCTGCTTCAGATGCTTAGCCAGTTTGCACAAGCTAATTAGCCTCTTCGACCTATTCCAGAACTGGAATACACCAGGAGGAACCTATTTCCTATTGCCATTATTGCAGAGGGCGATCAGAGCTTCCCAAAAAAGCCACTTTGGACAATTTGCTCCTTCGTTGGACTAGAAGAAATGATTCTGCCTTCCCTTTTCAATATCACATGTCCCCCATTTCCTTGTTTAGTTACTGGGGAGTCACAAAGGAGTCACACACCAACATAGCCTCCTCTGTTACAGCTTTTTGAAAACACAGAGGTACAATATCATACACTACCAGAAACACAAAACACACCAGTTTTTCCCCTCCTTAATCGGGGGGGGGGATTATAAAAATGGAGAAAGCCTAGGAAGTAGTACACAAGTCCTTGTGTGTCATGGACAATCTTTACATTTCTTTAACTTACCTCTCTTCCCATATGCTTCACATATATTAATGACCATATTCATCTGAAAGCTCAGTAGCAGCATCACTCCTTAACTGGCATATTAAACACCCTTTATTACTTCTTTCCAAAATGCAATAACCAAACTGGCATTGTTTGCCTTCTTTAAGAGGGCAGAAGTAGCAATGAATGAAATAAATGGTCCCAACAACTTTAATAGTTTCTGTACATTTCAGAACATTGAGAAAATGAGGACAAAAATAGCAACAAAAGAGAACACATGCAAGCTTCATTGCATCCTCTCTGTGCAGTTGCTATGCAGCAATTGCCTTCCTACAAAGAACTTTGGCTTTTTTGCTTACTAACGTTTCGTCATTCAAGTAGATACAGTATGTTCAGATCCAAAACAATTTAAAAGAAGTCTTTGCTCTGAGGAGCTGTCTCAGATAACTACTAATTAGAACGTACATGCCCTCCGCCTTGCCCATTTTGGAACTATATTAACCATAGGACAGAATATATAACCTAAATAAGCAGCAAACACTACCACAAAAAGAGAAGAAAAATATCCTCTCTTCACCCTCATGCAAGAAATAGTAAAACCAGCAGGCACTCAACTTAAAAAAAAAGGAAAAAAAATAACTTTTTTGGAAGCTAATGTGGACAACCCTTTGTCACTGCTGTCTTTTCCAACAGGTTTCAGGCTCACTGCTATTTTACACTCCTATGGTTTGCTATTGATACGTGCATACTGAAAGCTCATGTTGCAAACTACCACTTACTTTCTCCTTAAGCAAAAGCAAAAACAGTCGAAATTTTGAAAAGGGAAGTCATTTCTTATGCACGCACTGGGAAAAGATGTAGTGAATTAATGTTCTTAATACGGACTTAGGTAAGGAATTTAGCCTCTTTCCTGAGGAATGAGAGAAGAAAATATTCGGCAAAAAATATTCTGCAAAGGTCCAAGACTACGCTCCTAAATTAACTTTTGGGTATGCCGCAACCTCTTCTTAAGCTGAAACAGTAGTTTCTAATGCAACCCTCCAGAACAAGCCATTTCAGCTTTGATAAGAGGTACCAGCATGGATTTCCTGGCTGTATCCCCTCACCTATAACCATTATCCCATATACCATGCGCTCAGTTTCACATGGCAGGGAGAGATGCGCTGCTGCTGCACAGCAGCCATCCTCAGCCTCCACCACCAACACAACTGCATGCAGCCCTTCTAGCCTACCCCATTTATTACCCAATAATACTTAATAATTAAGCTAAACTTCTTACAATCTTATTGCCTGCTCTAGGAAGTGCATTCTGGCAAACATCACAAATACGCAACTATCAAAAAAAATGCTGTGCACACAGAGAAGAGGACAAACATCATCTGTCTTTTTTCTTCACCTCCCAGGGCAAGGGTACAGCTCCCTTCAAATGGACATCTGTAAGATCTCTACTCAAGAAAACTTTTTGCTTCGTGTTGACATTCTTCAGAACAACTATATCTGCTCTGCCATTGATGGAAACCTGAACAAAGCAGTCTTGGTGCCAGCCAGCACTCAAACTTCTCTGCTGCCCCTCAGGCAGCCTAGAGAGGCAGCTTTCAGCAGGGTCCAGCAGGCAGCCCAGGGGCTGGGTCCCACTTTTAGGATGCTGCCATCAGAGCCCAGGGAGCACATGCTGCCTAGCAGCCAAAGGTCTCCTCTTGCTTCTGGGAACAGCCCCACACAAAGGCAAGGGCATGGATGCTGCCTGTGAGGGTGACACCCCCAAAATAGGGTCTAGTCCTGAAAATGGAAGATGTGATACAGAATATCCTGGCTGCAACACAATCAGATGTGCCAATTCATAACACTTCTGCTCCAAAAAGTTTCCCTGGGATGGTGCTGAGATTTCACCCCTGAGGTTCTCCCGTGCCAGTGCTGTTCTTTTAGCCTCATTCAAAACGCACCACATGTGAAACTGGATGGGATGACAGAATGCTCTTAGGGTTCCTCTAAAAGCCATAAAGATTATAAACATACTTCAGAGCAAGCCAACGTTTCTATCACAGCAAAAGAAACAACTCAGTGAAGTGTTATGCTTCTACATGACCATTCATTTAACAGATTTTGTGGTTGTTCCATTATGGTTAATTGATCCTAACTTTCATTAGGTTCTTAGCACCCAGTAATACCATTAGTTCCAGGAGTTCTTGATTTTTGTACTTTCTTTGATGAACATCAATTTTTTTTTCTTAGCTTTAGCAAAACCAATAGACTGTCATAGATGAGTTTGCACAGAATTAATCTAACAACATGTATGTAAGACTGCCATGTACAGATTGCCTTTCAGAGGTTCTGGAAATTATTTTAGTTGCTACCAGTGGAAAGCATGGCTCTGAAATGATCATTTAAACCACCTACAAGAAATAGCTAAAATAATAGCCTGCTTTAGAACATTTGAACCTTCATTTCTAGTCTTCACATTTCCCCATCTATAAAATGAAAACAGTAACACTGTTTACAGAGTTCAGAACATAGTTCTCCTTGTAAAATGCTTCCGCATAAAAACTACACAATAATTCAATAAAAGCACAGTTTACAGGTAGTTAGTCAGACAGCTCATTTAGAAACTACAATTCTACATAGCAATAGATCAATTTAAAAAACAAGTCTCAGCCTCTGAAAAAAATCAATAAGCCTCCCAATAGCAGCAGCAATACTAAGCAGCTTTATAAAGTAAAATCACTTACGATTATCAGCTTTGTAGAATAGTCCGCGGATTTCCTCAAAGGACTCATCAGTTTTCAGGTTGCACTTTTCATTCTAAAGTCAGATAAAATCAGACTGAAGTCACCACAGAAGCTTCCCATCTGTAACTGAGGTCTTTGCTACAATCCAAGAATTTCCTTTTCCCATTGACACCATCACACCACCTCCAATTTCTTCTACCAGACTGGTTGCCCCACTGATGCATGTTAACTACTTCCCACACCTCCCAGATACCAGATACTCTTGCTGAGAAAAATTTTCTACCTTATCCACTTTCAGAATAGGCCACCCACATGGGAATCCTCTCTCAGGCTAGGAGGGCCCACACTGACTGCAGAGCTGCACACAGAGAGGTCTTCATCTTGATTCATATGCAAGGAATTGAACTAGGGATTTCACCAGTAAATGCTTAGCTGTTACAGCATGAACTAAAGAGCCTAAACTCCCAAGCTAGGATTTAACTTTCTGCTTCTATCTCAAGGAGGAAAAGACATCATCCAGCGACACTCAGCTAATGCAGTTTGCTTACAGAGCAAATAGAATTGAATGACTGTATGACATGATCTCCTTACTTTTACCTTGGCATTCCTATGTTCTCGTTGGAGTGGAGTATCCCGGTATCCATGTATTTATCCTCAATTCCTGTGTGAGAAAAGGAAATAATAAGTATTTCCTTAAGTTTGCCAACAAAGGACTACAACTGCAGCTTATCAACTGCCAGCAGCCCACAGCCTGCACTGCAAAGCTCTTTGGCTGGCTGGGAAGGCTGGTGGGGGAATGCCACCACCAGAAGGTGCCAGTGGACCTTCTGGCAGTGCCAGACTCTTGCATACACAGGTCTTTTTACAGTTCAGAGAGCAGTTTTGAAACAAGGCGGGAGAAGGAAGGAGGAGACTGCTAAGAAACGTAAAGGTAGAAGCCAGGCATTCAACAGTTTTCAGTACTACCCTGTTGGTTTTAACTATGCTTGCTTGGCCACATGCTGCCAGTACTGATTATATAAAATCAAAACTGTTTTTTCCTTTAAATTGTTGCATTGCCACAACAAGCAAAACACACAGTTCACCAGCCACCACTAAGAAGACTCATGTAAAGTCAGAGCTGTGAACCCTGTGGGCCCTACAATGAGGGAGGTCTTAGCAGTCATCAAAAATCAGCTGTGGGCACACAAGTCCCTTTACACAGTGCTGGCAGATTCTGTTGTCTGACATATGAAACCATATTGAAGATAACATATATTATATATTTAACATCATAAACATTAAATTACTATTCTGTGTTGTGCAGGGAGTCATTTTTTGTTCAGCAATTCATAACATTATTCAGGCACGCTGGACCTCAAACAGACTAGCAGTTCATTTACCGCACACAGCTGTATACAAGCAAACACGTGCATCGGCAATATTTCTACATCACAAAAAAGGGCACAAGCAGCCTTGCTTCCATCACCTCTTTCGCTCACGGGGTGCTTCCAGAGCGCAGATCCACGGCGTGTCCCTCAGCACGCACACACCACGCGCGGCTCCACAAGACCCGTGACGGCCACATCAGGCCGCCAGCAGCACAAGCCACACCGCACCCAAGCACTTTCGACGCCCGACCGCAGCCTTGGGGACGCTCCCGCTGTCACACTCAAATCAGGGGCGCACACTCGTGCTCCCTGGATAAAAACCTTCCCAATTCAGGGCCAGAAAGACAGGCAGAACCGTGCCCTGGAGCCCGGCCGCCAGCAGGGAAGGACAAATTCCCACTTGCTCGACCCTACTGAAACGCGGCCTGAAGAGGCTCCAACGCCGGCAGAGCCGCTGCCTCGGCTGAGCCCGCGCCTCGCCTCACGGCG